GCATCGCTAGTAGTAACAAGTGCCTTACTAGTAGTAACAAGAAGCTAGCTAGCTCATCAATTAGTTTCATCACTCAGCTGGGTCAAGTAGCCATGTAGCTCCTTGGTTCGTCCTTCCCTAGTAGCTTCTTGTTACTAGTAGTAAGGATGCTCCTAGTAGTACGGCCAGGAGCCCCTGGTAGCGTCCGATCGCTCCTAGGTCCTAGTAGCGATGCCAGCAGCCCCTAGTAGCCAACATGCTGGGCTTTTGAGTTCTTTCATGAACTGAGGAGTGAAACAAGTGAGGCAAATTGCGGCGCACGCACTTCGGGCGCATGAGCGGGCGTGAGCTATGTGCTTCTTTCACTTCAGCGCACGTGCATTGGGGAATGCCTCCCACCTGCTAGCGGCCTCCAACCACACCCCTGAACACGTTCTCTGGGTCCCCGGGTCTGAAAAACTTCAGAGTGTCCAGCAACGTCCAAAACTGCAAATCCTTTCGTTTCAGCAAAGAAGCAATGATCAAAGGCACTTCCAGGTTCCGTCAAATGGGCACCTGCATGAGGTTCTTCGTGCAGAATGTCTGACAACCTGCCAAACATCATTCTCCACAATCCTGCCCCCCCGCGCCACCCTTCCAGAAAGTTCGTGTTGGAGAATGCATGCTATTAGGTTGGAGGCCATCGCTAGTAGGTTGGAGGCCATTGCCATTAGGGTGATGGGTGAGTCTTCACATGCATAATCCACTTCACTGGCCTAATCCGATTTTGCTTGTTCGTGTCAAGCAGGTCGAATAAGCCAGACATGTGGGCCTGGATAGACGCAGTCGACGCAGTTGAAAGACAATTCTGCTTTCCGGGTTCTGCGAGCATGGTGAATCTCCTGCCTCAACTGGTTGTCGGCCTTCCCTCGAAAAGAGACATCGCATTGCAGTCCTGAAGTCCTCCTCTGTGAGAACACCTCACCCACGTTAGAAGGTGTTGCTTTACACGTAATAAGAAAGAAAGAAAGAAAGAACTAAAAGGAAGAAAGGTCTCAAGAAAAGGCGAAAATGATAGCATCTCAGACACGTTTAGAAGGCTTCTTTTGCTCCTTTAGGCCTAGGGTCTTGGCCTGCCACTCAGTACTGACCAAGAATTTCTATAAGTTGTTCTTTAGGCTGTGTTGTCCTTTTATCTTTTGGACCGGTTTTTTCTTTTTCCCTTTCTCTCTTGTTGTGTCCAAAGTCCTTTTCAGATGCTCATCTTCGACCTGAAGCCTTTGACAGGTCTTGACGTATCTCTGAGCTATGCGCCATCATCCCCTGAGAAGCTTGGAAGCAAAGAAGCACAAAAGCAATTAATAGCAAATTAAGAAATGCACAAAGACAAAGGAAGACAGAAAGTAACAAGAGATTCTGGTCCAAGACCAAAAAAATAGAGAATCTACCGGAATGTATTCCGGAATACAACCATACAACTTTGACTTTTCGCTACTAGGTTGGAGGCCATCGCTAGTAGGAGCAAGGACGCTACTGGTTTCTAGGGACTCCTGGGCTTACTACTAGGAGCAATGTTCGCTACTATGGGCTCCTGGCATCGCTACGGACGCTAGTAGGACTAGTAGTAGCAAAGGGCATCGCTATTACTTTGACTTTTCGCAGGCCCTACAGCCCTAGGTATTTAACATCCATATCCGTTGCTACGAAGGCACCCCCTTGGAATGAAGGCCACACTGACCTATGTTTCGCCATGCTATGCTGATTCCGTTCCTGCCTTTCAGGCTCTTCTTGGAAATGTTCAAGAAGCGCCAGAGCATTGGAATGGACCTCCACAAACAGTCAACTGTATGACACTTTGCTACACCAGATTGAAAACTCCAGGTTGGCCTTTATCACCCATTGCAAGCAGCAAAGTGCTTGGTCCGCCCCAGCTATATACTGAAATTCTTCCGGAATCTGGAAACCTTACAGAAAGAAAACGTTTCGGAACAAGAACGCATTCTACTAAACATTCAATCCTACTCCTACAGTATACGGGGTGCTCGCCAGTCTTGCACCGAATCACTTCGTAACAGTAGCAAGAGTCTTTAAGAACAAAATTGCTTCCTGGCCTTACAGAAACTGGAGGGACCTGGAAGGATCTTGGCGAAGCCACTGCTTTACGGACGTGCATGATTGATGCGGCATGCAAACGATGCGTTGTTTTTCTTTTTTCTTTAGCCGGCTCGGCCCTGCCTCCTGACTAAGTAGGCACCTGCTTAATTCAGTAAGAAAAAAGTTCGCTCCTAGCTACTGGGACGCTGCTACAAATATGGACGCAGGGTAGCTCACGCTTCTAATGATTTGGTTTAACTTCTTACTTCTTTTTACAAATAGGTTAGAGGCCATTGCTAGTTTAGCTCCTAGATTCTTAGGGAAGCTTAACTTAATATGTTCCCCCTTCTTTGTCAAGCTTCGGGTTCGGCCACTCTAGTGACTATAGTGGTGCCTGGTCTCAACTTCAAACCGAGTTGGATGAAAACTTTACACGTGAGCTAGGTGTAGTGAAGGTCAAGACCTCGAAAAGGTCTTAGAAAGAAAGGGCTGTCTGCTGTCATTGTGCTTGAGGCCCAAGCCTGTGAAAGAAGCTTTGTATAAAGCACAACACAAATGTTAAAAAACAAATTGGACATTAAAAGGATCGAAAACAGGTTGCCCTTGGCCCAGCCTGAACTCTGTGAAAACAAATTCCATAAACTCCGCCACCTGGCAATGGAACTGGAGCACCAAGCTTCCACGTGAAAGGAGCTGAAGAGTCAGGAGGAAGCTCTGTGTACGTTTCATGGAAGCTAAAGAGATACCAGAAGGATCTAGCGAAGCAAACGGAATTAATATTGAGCTATGATAATGTTCGTCCTAATGGGACGTAGGCCTCCAACCTAATAGCGACTTTATTGGCTACTGAATCAAAACCGACAAGCTGAAGCTGATTGACGCTGTTCAACTGGGGGCCGAGTCCATGAGAGACCAGACACATCGAGACGACGAAATGCGTTCAAATTCGGGACCAATTGGACACGTATTGTCTGTGGACAGCATATAAACATACCAAAATGGAAAGGTCAAAATCTAAAAGCAAAAGAAAAAACAAGAAACAGCCATTACAAAGAGAAAAGTTGAAATGCGAGTTCTTTGTTTCTGTCGATTGGAGGCCATCGCTCTTAGGTTGGAGGCCATCGCTAGGAGGTTGGAGGCTATTCACCACAGATGCATGTCGTTTGGGAACAAGGAAGGAAAGTCTGCAACTTTGTGCCCCGCCTCTGGCTCTCCTTGCCACATCCGCTTAAGCAGCCCGGCCTTGCTGCAAAAAGAAGATTAGCACCACAAAAGTATCGATGTTTTCTTCAAAAAGTAAATGTTGAAATTAGGTTTATATATATATATATAGTATCTAACATATACTATATTGTCAGTACTGGGGGTAGGTTGAAAAAGAAGTGGTTGCCAAGTATGCTAAGGTAGTAACAGGGGCAAGACCAGCTAGAGTAGCTACCAATAGCTATTAAGTAGCGATGGCCTCCAACCTAGAAGCAATGGCCTCCGACCTACTACCGATGGCCTCCAACCTAGTTTCGTTCCAAAACAAATCATTCTAACTAGATGTCCAACGAAGACGCGGCCAAAGCACCAGGGCATGGCCCTGCATGGCTGGTGTCCACTTGCTGAGGGCATGGCGAGGGCATCAGAGTGCGTCGCGTTGGGATCCCTGCAACAAAAAACGGTGTTCATCAAAAAATGTCAAACATCGGTTAAACATATAAACGGTTTAAGCATATCAAACAAAATGTGAATCAAGAAAAGTGTGAAGAAGACAGGTCAAGAAAAACTACGTGTTCATCAAAAAGGTCCACATGGTCCATCTATGGAGTTTACTACATGGATGTCGTGGTGCAAGTGCTTATGTCACAATTTCGATGTTGCCAAGCAGATTCATGCTATTTCAAAGTGTCACTGAATCGAAAGACAAAGAACGATCTTACCCACTTCTCCTGCAAAGAATGTGTGTGTGTGTGTGTGCGTTCTTTATATATGTTTATCTGTTCTTTTTCTCTTTAGACATTGACATGCATGTGTTTTCTTTAAACCTTTCTTCATTTCTTCTTTTGATTGCTCTTTTTTGTCTATTGTCCTTCCTTTTTCTTTCGTTCCTGCCAAGTTGTCCCATCGCTCAAGACTTCTGAGATCTGAACTTTCTTCGCCGAAGAGTGCCCACGTACTGCTCAATGAGATGCTCCTCGATGGGATCCTGAAGCCAAACTTGCAGACTTTTCAAGCTGCACGCCTAATGGCGATGGCCGGTAAGTGCAGCTTACTCTTCAATATTTTTGATTGTGTTTGCAATCTTAGTATCTTGTTTCTCCAATGTGTTGTTTCACTAGATTGCTTGCCTCCCACTTCTGTTAAACCTGGCTGGACTGTCGTTTTTTTTCTTCGGTATAAATTCGACTGTGAAGGCAGGTTCCGCAGGAAGATTGCTCACTCCCTAAATAGTTCCGCTTTGTTCCCGTCCTGATCTCGAATACGTCGTGCCTCCTCAGCGTCATTTCTGAGCAACTCCCAGCCTCGGCAATTTGAGAGAGAGAGAATTCCGGTCCAAAGAGCGGAAAACAAAGGACAAAAGACCGGAAAAAACAAAGAACAAGAAGCTACTAATGTTGATTCTAATAGCTTCTTGTTACTAGTAGCGATGCACTTGTTACTACTAGCTTCTTGTTAGGTCTAAAGAAAATGGAAAAAGGAAGAAAAGTCTCTTGGTCTGAATTTATGAAAAATGAAACACTCAGAGAGAAATGATTAAATTAAGTGTGTTTTGTCACACTCAACAGCTCTGTTCCAAATTCCAGTTGCTCTGGCAGTGCTATAAAGCGGCAGCAGCGAGAAGAGAAGAACTAGGCTATACAGTATACATGTGTGTATATATATATATCTATATGCTGCTTTGCAACCAAAAGCGCCTCACCCCAGTGGCGGCTTCGCTCACCAGGAAAATGCATCAAGTTAAGACACAGTAAAAAGAATACAAAAGGTCCACATGTCTAAAGAATTGGAGGCAATCGCTCTTAGGTTGGAGGCCATCGCTAGTAGGTTGGAGGTCACTGCTCTTGGCCATCGCTAGTAGGTTGGAAGCCATCCCTCTTAGGTTCGAGGTCATCGCTAGCAGGTTGGAGGTCATCGCTCTTAGGTTGGAGGCCAAAGCTTTTAGGAGGGAGGCCATCGCTCTTAGGTTGGGGGCCAAAGCTCTTAAGAGGATGGCCATCGCTGGTTGGTTGGAAGCCATCGCTCTTAGGTTCGAGGTCATCGCTATGAGGAGGGAGGTCATGGGAGGTCGGCCCAAAAAAGAAAACTATCCCGACAGTATGTGAGATCTAGATGCATTGGGGTGATGAAGGCGGGGATCGTGGTGACGGTGGCGGTGAGTGAGTGAGTGAGTGAGTGAGTGAGTGAGTGAGTGAGTGAGTGAGTGTGTGAGAGAGAGAGAGAGTGTGAGTGCGAGTGAGTGAGAGTGGGAGAGTGTGTGAGTGAGTGTGAGTGTGAATGTCAATGTGAGTGAAGAGTGAGTGAAGAGTGAGAGTGAGAGTGAGCGTGAGCGTGAGCCTGTGTGAGTGAGTGAGAATGAGGTGAGAGGTGAGTGAGAAAGTGAGAGTGAGCATCTGAGAGTCACCAAGTGCTGCACCTGCCACGAAGTCTGCAAACGAGCCACATGTCCAAAAGTCCCAGTTCACTGCACCTGTCACGAGATCAGAGCACCTCGAACATCACGACCATGTCCAAAGTATGCACCTGCCACGAAATCTGCACATCGAAGTACAGCCGCTCCGATCCCTTGCCCCTGTCACGAAAAGTCGACTTTGGACCACCAAAACACGAGGTTTCCCCTGCGCCTGCCACGAAAAGTGATCACCATGTGCAAAATGCGCATGGCACCACAACGAGAGCGCAGTCGCGACAAGTACTCGCCGCGAGCCTGCGGAGTCGAAATGCATGTCGACGATTTGGAGAGGCATGAATGTACCGCAAATAGCAGCGAATTAGCTGGACACGCTCGCGCGGCACAGCGATCTAAGCACAGCTGCTTAACCACTACCGTGAGAACCCCTAAGTGTGTCGACACTGAGTCGACACTGTTTGGGGAATAAAATTGGATCAATCTGAGCGCACGACGTGAAGGACCCTCAGGTGCTTCACACTCCTGGGTGAAAACGAAGGGCAAATTGTCTGCAAATTGTCTGTCGAAACGTTTACAAAACAAAGAGATATCTTTATTTTTAAAGCCCGCCGAGGGGGTACACCGCTAGAAAAGGTAGGTAGTTATTAGTAGCTCCATTAGCTACAGGACGCTGCTACCTAAGTTGTTCGCTCCTAGGACGCAGGATAGCTCGCGCACCATTCATGTGCTTCCTAGATGTTTATGGAAATGTTACTTGAAAGTCAAAACACAAAAGAAAAGCGAAAGCTCCCCTTGCTCGCTCGCCGTTCTGGTGTGTTACTTCCGCTTGCTAACAAGAATTATAATATTTGCTCTGACATATTGGTCGTTTCTTTTCTTAGTCGTTCTTCGGTTCTTCTTTGGACCTTAGACCTTTCTATGTTCCTTCCCTCAAGAACGTGGTTAGTCTTGTGAATGCTACTACTATTTGTGCGGTGAGAATGAGAAAGAAGAAATGCACAAGAAGCTACTAGGAAAGAAGCTGATTTGGATCGGCTGCACCGACTTCTTTTTCCACGTATCCGCTAGGAGCGCTTTCCACCCATCATCTTCTCTAAAAAGCCGGTGCCCACGAGAATGGCATTTGCCATCACCACAGCAGTGAGAATCGGAACCTCTCAAAAGTGGCTGTGCAGATCTTTCACATGAATGCTGGACATCTGCAAGAAATGGACAAAAACTTTCGTGGGTTGGAGGCCATCGCTACTAGGATGGAGGACATCGCTAATTACTAGGGTGGAGGCCATAGCTATTAGGTTGGAGGCCATCGCTAGTAGGTTGGAGGCCATCGCTATTAGGTCTGCTAATTTAAAAGTCACTAAATACTGCCAGGATACTGTTTGTGAGGGTCCCGTCACCTCAAGTGCACAACCAATCAGATAATTGAAACAGAAAACCTGAGGCAACAGCCAGTTTCAACAGACATAGGGAAAACGTGAAAAGAACAAAACGCAAACAAGAGGTTCTGGGGGCCCTGACGAACATACACACAGGAAAGGCAAGGGCAGTGATGGGCGCTGGCAGCAATGCCCCAGGGGCAGCGCCAATCATCACTGGCACGGCAACCCGTCCATCTTAGCCACAAAGAATAGATCACAAAAATGCCTTCTTGTCTCAACAATCTATAGTGAGATTTTGGCATGCGTGGACCTATAGAAAAAGAAAACAAGTGCATGCCGCGGTGTTGCAAAAAGGTGATCCTTTTGACACATTGTAACAAGTAAGAAGCTACTAGTAACAAGTGCATCGCTAGTAGTAACAGGTGCCTTACTAGTAGTAACAAGAAGCTATTAACTTATTTGAAATTAATAGCTTCTTGTTACTACTGGTAAGGCACTTGTTACTGCTAGCGTGGCACTTGTTACTAGTAGTAACACTTGACCAATTCGTGCAAGACTGCGAAGCACAATCAGCCCCTGACCGATCCCAAATACTTGCTCGCATATCAGGCCGATGGTGAGACCTTCGGATTTTGACGTGAAAATTTGACGGTCTAGTCTTGTTTGCTTTTCGTGGTTTTCTGCTCTTTTTAAGCCCGCCCGTACTGAATAAAGTAGGCGCCTGCTTGATTAAGTAAGGGAGTAAGCTCCTCGCTACGTGAGCTTCTAGTAACTGAACGCAGGATAGTTCACGCTTCTAATGATTTGGTTCCTAGATTCCTAGATGTTTAGCGAAACTACTTTGTAGATATCGGTAGGGAAGGCCCAAATCTAAAACCCGGATACGACCGTAAAGCATTGAATCGATTGGAGGTCACTGCTTCAGGATCCGGCCGAAATACAGCAGCGGGTAGAAAATCCCACCCACCTAGCGGCTGCGTCTCGTGTTGCGTTCAGACTGACTGTGGCAAGATGGGGTAAGATGAGACGCGGACGAGCCCGCCGTGAGCACAAGCCCAATACGCAACGACCTTCGCCACTGCGATGCCTGAGCTGGCTCGCTTTCGTGCTTCCAAGAATAAGCTACTAGGAACAAGTGCATCGCTATTAGTAACAAGTGCCTTACTAGTAGTAACAACAAGCTAGTAGAAACAAGTGCATCGCTACTAGTAACAGGTGCCATACTAGTAGTAACAGCAAGCTATTAGTTTAATTTAAAGTTAAATTTAAGTCTAATAGCTTCTTGTTACTACTAGTAAGGCACCTGTTACTAGTAGCGATGCACTTGTTCCTAGTAGAAACAGAGATCTTTGCTGTCCAGGTCCGGTGGAGCGACGTGAACCACGTGACTTGATCGGAAGACGCTCCGGGCGATAGACTCCAACCTACTAGCGATGGCCTCCAACCTCATAGCAATAGAATGCATTTTGTGTTTCCTTTAGGCCTGTCTTCCATTTTTCTTTTTGGTGTTTTCTTTGGACCTTTCTTCCTTTTAGTTTCTTGTTTTTTGATGTAAAAGAACATGCATCGCTGCTCACGCTGTATGCTGATGTCGTTCATGTCGTCTATCGATGGAAAACCGAACCCACTGAAACAAGAAAAACTGAAGTGGTCCGGTCCTGAAAATTGAAGTTGACATGGATTTTGAGTTACTAGCTGCTCCTGGCCGTACTACGAACGGAGCAGTCTAGGGGCCAAAGAGTTCAGGCGCAAAGATGGTCCGCGGCTGTTGCTTGGTGTCCGTGGCCATGGCCATAGTTGGCATCATGGAGTCCTTGCCGCTCCCGAAGGCCAAAGGAAAGAGATATATGGCCACCTCAAACATGCGGAACAAAAAATGGACGGGGAAAAAATAACATGAAAGGGGAAAAAAACTGTCTAAAGAAAATAAAGATGTTGAAAAATAACAAATTAGCCCAGCTGGAGACCCCAATAGCAAGATACAAACCGGGACAAAAAGAAAAATCTGGAAACAGCTGCTGTTTTCAACACATCGACTATCTCTTCCTTGGACGCCATCATCACATAACCGGGACACCATCACAAAATGACCAGGGCACCATCAAAACATGACCGAGACACCGTCACAACATGATTGGGACACCTTCACAACATAACCGGGACACCATCACAAGGTGACCGGGACACCAGCATGACATGACGGGGACACTGGGACACCATCACAACATGACCGGGACACTATCACAACATGACCGGGACACCGTCACATGACCCGGACACCATCAAAACATAACCGGCGCACCGCCAAGACACCATCACAACAGGACCGGGACACCATCAAAACATGACCGGGACACCGTCGCAACACGACCGGGACACCATCAAAACATGACCGGGACACCATCACAACATGACCGGGACACCATCAAAACATGACCGGGACACCATCAAAACAGGACCGGGACACCATCACAACATGACTGGGACACAATCAAAACATGATCGGGACACCATCGCAACATGACCACCATCACATGATCGGGACACCATCAAAACATGACCGGGACACCGTCACAACACGACCGGGGCACCATCAGAACATGACCGGGACACCATCACAACATGACCGGGACACCATCACATGACCGGGACACCATGAAAACATGACCGGACACCATCACAACATGACCGGGACATCGTCACATGACCCAGACACCATCAAAACATAACCGGCGCACCGCCAAAACATGACCAGGACACCATCACAACAGGACCGCGACACCATCAAAACATGACCGGGACACCGTCACAATGACCCGGACACCATCAAAACATAACCGGCATACCGCCAAGACACCATCACAACAGGACCGGGACACCATCAAAACATGACCGGGACACCGTCACAACACGACCGGGGCACCATCAAAACATGACCGGGACACCATCACAACGTGACCGGGACACCATCAAAACATGACCGGGACACCATCAAAACAGGACCGGGACACCATCACAACCATCAAAACATGACCGGGACACCGTCACAACACGACCGGGGCACCATCAAAACATGACCGGGACACCATCACAACATGACCGGGACACCAGCAAAACATGACCGGGACACCATCAAAACACGACCGGGACACCATCAAAACATGATCGGGACACCATCACAACATGACCGCGCCACCATCACATGATCGGGACACCATCAAAACATGACCGGGACGCCGTCACAACACGACCGGGACACCATCAAACATGCCCGGGGCACCATCACAACATGACCGGGACACCATCACAACATGACCGGGACACCTTCAAAACATGACCGGGACACCATCACAACATGACCGGGACACCATCAAAACATGACCGGGACACCATCAAAACAGGACCGGGACACCATCACAACATGACTGGGTCACAATCAAAACATGATCGGGACACCATCAAAACATGACCGGGACACCAGCATCACATGACCCGGACGCCATCAAAACATGACCGGGACACCATCCGCCCACCAGCTCTGACGGTGACCCGACGGCGCCCGTCCGCCTATTTGTTTTGCAAGACCCCATAGCAGGGCTATTGGGGAACAAATTTTGAAACATGTCTTGAAAAGAGAAGAGGTTTTAAGATCAAAAAGGTCGAGTTTTGTTTAAGAGGTTTGGAAAAACATTAGCATCTTTTCTTCAGCTTCAAAGCCAAAGCCCGACCAAGGAACACCAGTAATCAGACCAGCTAATGAGGCCATGACGACCTGGCCAACGCTCGGGTTCAACCAGCTATGCCAGCTATGCACCACCCGCCTGCCGTGCTGCCAGACCCAGGCGCCGTTCTAGTGGAGCTCCCAGCATGGTAAAGATGGCCTGAGATGACTCGATGCAACGTAGAGATGTGTCAAGATCCATGTAGCTGCGCATCAAATATTCTGCATGTTCCTTTCACAGCATCCTTATAGGAGCAAGAAGCTATTAGGAACAAGTGCATCGCTTCTAGTAACAGGTGCCTTACTAGTAGTAACAAGGTTCGCTACTAAGAATGGTGAGACTCACAGGCACGGTGGGTTTGTGAAAAACGAATGAGAGCGCCTTGATGATTGCACCAACAATGAGGAAGAAGGTCACGGCC